ACCTTTACATCTCAAATTAAGACTCAATTCTAATGTAGTGTTCGGTCGAATTCTTCTATTGTATTCAATTTACTCCTCTCAAGTTTTCATTGAGCCTATTCAACTAATTAAATTTCATATCTCTATGCAAATTTAATTTAGTTAAACGATTTCTTTGTCCTAGGAATTCAATTATGACACCAATAAATGGCATAGGTATCTCTACTCGTTATACCAATGTAATGGATTTTACTACATGGTCTAAATACTAGACTCATATCTCTATTCGTAAAGGATTCACAAAATTCATCAAATTATTGATTAGATAATTTAATACAATCAATCCGTAGCAAAAATCAACAGATGGAAGAATTAAAAACAAAGAATCTTAATAAGAAAATATAAAGGATCTCAAATGGGTTACATTATTCACCCTAACATTGGATTTAGCTATGCATAATAAAAGAAGAGCACAAACAAATTGTCTTAGAATACATCACCGGATTTTGAATAAGAGAATGTAGAAGAAAAAGTGGATCTTGTACCAAGAGTCCCTCCTTCTTCCAATTTATGCTTCACACGATGAATTTGGTGTTGTTTTTTCCCTTTGAATCTCTCCCCCTTTCCATCAAGAAGTGTTTTTGCCTTGAGAATGTGTATCCCCTTCAAAGTCTCAGGAAAAAACGTATTTATAGGTCCTTGGCCATGCGGGAATAATAGGTTTTTCGCATGGGCTCCAAAACGGGCCGAGAATTAAGACCCTAGCTATCCTGCGCACGGTGCCACGTCATCTGACAATGGCGCCACCCTTTTGTGTCTCGATGCCACGGCGCCCTGAATCTGGCGTCGAGACTCGGGCAAGTGGCAGGGTGCCGCAGTGACCACACTTTGGTTTTTCTTGATTTCTTTCATTTTCGTACCATCCGTCCCCTCTTAGCTTTGTCTATTTTGCACTCTATTTCACAACTTCTTTTCCATCCATGCTACTAACTTCAATTTAATGACCTTTCTTCGTATTTTTCACCATCACGACACACCTATAAAATGACATTAATACACACATTAAAAACGTTCAATACTCGTGAATTGTAGCTTAAAATCAAGTTAAAATTTGCATAAACTCGTAAGTAAAACACACTCGTCAAATACCCCCAAACTTAACCATTTGCTAGTTCTCGAGCAAACACAAAGAAAAGAAACCAACTAAAGACACAAATAACGATTCAGTCAGATGGCTCGCCTCTTGGCTCAGCATTGAGAACATTATGTCACATTCGTGAACGATTTCTACATCACACTACAAGAGACAACTATTCACTTATGCTATACAAAAGTAGTTGTGTGTGTGTGAGAGAGATTAAGTGCAATGCTGCACCTTCACAGGTTAGTTCACTCCCCAATCCTCTGTGGTCAATTCTTTCCTTTCTTCACTCCTGAGATTCACACACTCCCAAACTTGTTTTCTTCTATTCTCTCACCATGGTGTGGTTCTAAGGTTTTAATTTTATTTGTCAATGTCTCACACCGCTCTAATTTGGTTTAGCTCTACCAGTGATGTCAATAACTTATTCATGTAATAATTCTCCTCAATTTTGAATGTTTCAACAGTCTAGTTTATACCAAGTGATTCAAACCTGCTAGATATCTTTGTCCCCAATTTCAGTTCTCTTGTGTATTAACTTGTATGCAACACTTTTCTAACCCTTTTTTTTGCACTTTACACTTTTTTCCTCTTCTTGACCCCGTAGCGAGTGTTAGGTCGGTAACTCCCAAGTCAGACGACTTTAGAGCATAGGTTTTGAAAGACCTTTACAGACTTAATAACTAGAGTAAAAAAGGCGTAGGTATGAAGTGTAGGTTAGGAGTGCAATGCTTCATTTCTATAAAATGAAACGAAATTTATAAGGGATAGATCTCTAGCTTGTCATCATCACTAAGCTTATACCAGAAAGTTAAATACACTCCACACAAATTTGTAACATAGACGGAATCATCACGAGCTTAAATTACTTCTTTCACCGGGTCGAATGCCCTAAACCATTAAACAAGTGGTGAAAAGGTGTTGTAAATCATAGGGTACAAGGTTAAATACCTAAGTTATCAATTGAGCAAAAGCACATGAACCATCATGTGTCTGTACAGCGCTAAACTTAATACTCGTGCATAAATATTACACTGCTTCACATAAATAAGTAAAAACCT